TCCCTCTCCCCATTTTCCATGAAGGAAGACTGAGAAGCAACTCTGAGAAAAGTTCTGAGGCTTTTAATATATTCACAAATACGGCAAAGTTATATTTTTCAAACTTCCAAAGCCCCTGCTAACCCTAAGATTAGAATCACAGAATTTTTAAAATGTTAATGCCAAAATATCCCTTAGAAATCAGTCCAACCCTCGCGTTTTACAGATAAAGAAACGCAAGATTGAGAGGTTAAGTAATTTGCCCAAAATTGCCCAGTATGTTCAATGATTTCTTCAAATATGTGTTATTTTTAGCCTCTGCGTCTTCCCCCCCTTCCCTCTAGCCAAACTCTCCCATTACCCTGTCAGTGACAGTACAATGTCAACTGCAAAGGAGAAGCCCATGTTCCAGAGTGCCAATGAAATTGAAAGTTCCTTAAAACAAAGACTGTGCCTTTGTCTCAGGGCCTACCAGAGAGCCCTCCACGTGCTCACACGTCCCCACTGACTGCCTGAGCAACACGTGGTTCTCTGCTCATCCTGTAGGAACTTACGAAGCATTGAACGGGTACATAGCAGACCCTACTTTAAGAACATCATCTTTCTCAAGGGGAGCCTGGCTGGCTCAGTCAATAGAGCATGTGACTTTTGATCTCGGGGTTGTGAGCTTGAGCCCCAAGTTGGGTGTAGAAAGTATAAATGAATAAGGAAATAAATTAATTAATTAATTAATTAATAAGAACATTGTTTTTCTCTCCATTGCAGATTCAGGCAGCGAACTGCCCATCTAACCAAGTTTCTAGGGAGCCCTGGAAGATACCAACATTTTGGGAGCCACAGCTTTGCCACTCTATTGCAATGACTGTTGTCTTTACCCCCTACCTACTCCACTGCCATTCACCTATTTGCTTCTGGGGTCACCAAAATTTCTCTTGGTTTTTGCTTCTAATGGGTAAGAAGAGACATAACTGAATAGTGCTGACAAGTCAAGATTTAAGGGCACCTAGATGGCTCAGTCAGTGAGCATCTGACTCAGCTCAGGTAATGTTCTCATGGTTTGTGAGTTTGAACCCCACACCGGGCTGTCTGCTGTCAGCTTGTCAGTGCAGAGACTGCTTCAGATCCTCTGTCCCCCTCTCTTTCTGCTCCTCCCCTGCTCTCAATAAATAAATAAATAAATAAATAAAACAATTGAAAAAAAAAAGTCAAGATTCAAAAGCAGAAAGAGAGTCTTAGTATGACCCCACTCTCAGGATTAATAAACAGACTGGAGCAAGTCCTGACCAGCGTCAGAAGAGCCCAAAGAGCAGAGGGTGCAAGCAGGAGGGCAGAGAGCAGGAAGCCTGTGGGATGCCGGGAGGGGTGCCGAATCTGAGACCCCACTGAGCCCCTTCAGATGTCACATTTCTTTAGCACACCACAGTCCTCCGAGCCATCCGGACCTAGAGTGTCTCCTGACTTCATCACCTTCCCTGCCCCTCATGTGATCTGGTCCCAAACCCCACCCTTTCTTTCCCTCTATCATTCAGCTCCTGTCATGTAGCCCAGAACTGCAGCATCCACGTCAAAGCTGTCATGGTTTCTCATGTGGGCCACACAATATACTCCTAACTACGCTGCCTGCTCAGAAATTCTTCTTTCTAGTTCATCTTGTATACTGCAGTATCTGATGACCAACTTGTCCCAGGCTGCCCAGAACCCTCCCCATTTGAACGCTGAAATCTCATGTCCTGGGAAACCCCTTAGTCCCAGACGAACTGGGACAGCTCGCTACCTTACTGCAGTCAGATTAAAATCTTCCCCCAGACAATGCTTTACTCATGTCGTTCTCCTGACCAAAATGTTCCCCGAGTCCCATTTCTCATTAAAACTAACCCTAAAGCAGGCCCCAAATCTACCTCAGAGAAGGTATAAGAACCAAAGGTCAGAAAAAAAAAAAAAAAAGAGGATTCTAAGCCTGGCTTTCATCATAGACCTGTGGGACCCTTAGCAAGTCTCTCAGTCTACCTGGACCTCAATTTCCTCATCTGTAAAATTAAGAGGCTAAAACTAGATTTCCTTTGCAGCTCCAAAATTTTCCAATTCAATTCTTCTGTATACCCTCCACTCCAGTCAGACTCACCAGCTCACTGCAATTCAAACATGCCCTATAAATTCTCACCTCATACCTTTGGTCTTTCCCTTCTCCCCACCAGGATTTCTCTGCTTTCTTCTGCCCACCTGAATCCCATAAGGAACAACCCAAATCCCACCTAATGAAGGGAGCCTGGGCAGAGCCCGCAAAGCCTCCTCATGAACCAGGTTTTCTTTTTTTTTTTAATTTTTTTTTTATTATTATTGAGAGACATAGAGAGACAGAGCATGAGTGGGGAGGGGCAGAGCGAGGGGGAGACAGAATCTGAAGCAGCTCCAGACTCTTGAGCTGTCAGCACAGAGCCCGACGCGGGGCTCAAACTCACAAACTGTGAGATCATGACCTGAGCTGAAGTCAGATGGTTAACTGGCTGAGCCACCCAGGTGCCCCCCAGGTTTTCTAACTCTCAGCAGTTCTCATGTCCTGCTTCTGCTGCTTCTTTATCCCAACTGGACTAAAATCTCTGCACTTTTGTGATTTCTTTGCAGAATGCTGAACACACAGTTAACAATAGCAAGCATCGTCACTTATAACTGACTGACGTATGGACACACAAGAAAAAGTCCAAGCAGAGATCTAAATGTGAACAAAAGTAGAGAGCAGAGGCAAATCTAGAATTTTCTGCACTTTACACAAGACTCTCAAATGCTTCTATAAATCAGTAGTTGACTTACTACACAAAAAGTTACTGAAACTCTCCTATGCTGGCATGTCACAGGTGCAGAAGTGGGGAATAAGTGGTGACCCAGGTCCCCGATAGCAGCTCTCCTCTACTAGATATCCTAGGATCCACATTGTCCATCAACTTGTAACTTTTTGGGAAGACCTTAACAGGCTCAAATGGCAGCAGCTCCACCACCATCACACCCTCCCTCCCAAAATTAGTCATGGATTTACTTCTCTCTCTAGATGAGCCATTAAGTGAAAAAAAAATTAAAATTAAAACAGGTCAATAGATTAAAATATCTACCTACACAAGCAAGACAGCCTAAAGCAAATCTCTTCCAGGAACTATATCCTCGCTATTTACCTAGAATCGCTAGTCCCTACTCTGACAGACTTTTATAAAGTGACCATATCGATACCCGTCTTTGGTGTGACTTAACGGTGGTTGTCCATTAGTCTTGGAAGGCAACATATATTAAGGATGAACGCAGCCTACACGTCTGTCTTTCGGACCCCTGTCGCATGCACGTGCACACACACTCCCCTAATTAAATGGGGCCGGGACTTGAACAATATCACCTACCTGATGACAAACAGGTTCCTGAGTAAGTGGGGGAAGTAAATAAACCAAACGGTCTGCAGAGGGAGAGGTCAAGCTGGGCTGAGCCGGGCTGGGCCCAGAGTGATTCAGGCTCCACCACAGAATGGGTGTCTCCTGGGATGGCCTAGCAGGACAATTAAAACCCCTATAAATAGGATGGGTTTTCAAGTCCCTAGTATCCTCTCTGGCTTCTGAATCTTCTGCTCATTCCTCCTGAAGCAGGTAAGGCATGCATGGAGGGTTTGGGGGATGAATAATGGCAGTCTCTATAAAGGCTCTTCATAGCAGCTATAATGCGATGGGCTAGGGGGTCTGAGACTGCTCCCTGTGCACAACAGGCCTGGTTAGAATCCTGCTTCTTTTTATTGGTTCTGTCTGAGAATATGATGATGGCTGCAGTGGCCCACTTCCGAGGCTGTAAAATATATATGCCTTTGGTTTAGCATGTCCTGAGAATCCCAAAACTGAGGGCTAGAACTCCTAGTGAATAACTTAGGCTCCCAGAGTGGAGCATTGACCTTTCATGCAAGTAAGGCAAGACCCAAAGGTTTAGAGCCCTAGGACAAGGCCCTAGACCACAGGGCCACAGTAGCATTCAAGTCTCAGTGCAGTGAACGGCCATAAGGGACTCAGCCTGTCCCATGCAATTCACTGCATGCCATGCATCCTTACAGGCATCACTGCGTGCTCTGGGAAGTCCAATGTGCTTTGCAGTGGGGGCTTCTTGGAGGCTTATAAACTCAATGACTAGAACTTTTATACCACAGGCAAAATACAATTGAGATCCAGATGCCAAAAGACCTCAGTCTCCCTATATATCCAGAGTGAATCTAGCTGATTAGATACACTTCCTGTCATCTATGCAGTTAGTTAATTTGGATTGCCATCTTTATCTGTAATAGATTTTATATTCATTGGTTCTACTTTATAAGCATACCCCAAATAATCATCCAAGAAGCACTTGCTGGAATTTAGCCTCTCAGAAAGCTTGTTTAGCCTGTGGCAAGAGACCTCTGGCCTTCTTCTCCCACTTGAGCAAGGCTCCCTAGAAGACTGAGGCCTGTTTAGCAGGGTCTATTTAGTTGGTGGAAAATTATGTCTTACTGTGCTGACTTTTGGCCCTGCCTCTGTGGGCCTCCTGATCTCTCTTCCTTTTGTTCTAAGAGAGTTTCAATCAAGCAGGTCCTACCTGGAGTAGGGGATGGGGCATGGAAACCACCTACCATGTGCTTTTTGCTTTTTAGGAAATTGCCACTTTTCCTAGTTGGGGACCCATAGCCGGCACCCTTCTCCCACTATAGCACATAGTATTTGGGGCCCGATTGTGGATCAAAGGGAGTGTAGGGTATGGCTATGAAGGGGCTCTGTCATTTCTTTTTCTTTTTTAATGTTTATTTATTTTGAGAGAGAGGGAGAACAAATGTGAGTGGGGGAAAGGCAGAGAGAGAGGGAGAGGATCCCAAGCAGGCTCCATGGTGTCAGCAGAGGGGCTCTTTCATTTCTTAAGCTTCTTTCCCTGATCAAAAAGGACCACTTGCCCTCTGGCTATGCTGTCTCCTGGTCTTCATCTTAAACACGGACAAATTGTTTCTTCTTTTAGGTTCACCCATCTTTGCTAAAATGGCTCAGCTCCTGAACAGCATACTCACTGTGATTGAGGTGTTCCAGAAACATGCTAAAGAGAATGGGAACTGTACCTCGCTGTGCAAGAAGGAGTTGAAGCAGCTGCTCTTGGTTGAGTTTGGAGACATCCTCCGGGTAAGATGCATAGACTCTGACCCCATGGAGTCAAGCGTGAGTGATTCTGACACCTGCATCCATGGCTTGATGTTTTTTGTTTGATCTGGTCATGCTCTACCTATAGCTAAAGATTTTCAGACAGCTCTTTAGTACTTCTCTCCCAGCACACACACACACACACACACACACACACACACGTACCTTCTTATAGCTGGGCTTGACAGGAGAGGGTACAAGTTCAAACCAGAAATCATTTCTCAGAAGAAATTCTAGATTCATAGGTTGATTTCTATATTTGAGTGCTGTACACACATCTTCTCATTCATTCATTCAATAAAGAGCCGTGGAATATCTATTCCATGCCAGCACCATCCTAGTCACTGGGGATGCAAACATGAATAAAACCACCTTCTCTTCCCTCTAGAATCTCACAGTGTGGTTGGAAAGAAGTAGGTGAATAATTACAATACAGCATGTAATGGAATAATCATGCCCCCATTGGTCTAGCAAGGGATGAGTTTCAGAGGACCAGTTGATCAAAGACTAAATAAAGCCCAAACCATTTCAGATGAATGGTGACCAATTCACCATTCCTGTATGAGGAAGGCTCATACAGGACAGAAGAGGTAGGGGTATGGATACCAGCACACATCTTCATATCTACAGGAGAACAGCTGATTTCACTCTTTGTTTTATCTTCTCACAGAGACCAAATGACCCAGACACTGTGGAAACCATCCTGAGCCTCTTGGATAAAGACAGAAATGGACATGTTGATTTTCATGAATATCTCTTGTTGGTGTTTCAATTGGCTCAAGCCTGCTATCATAAACTGAATAATAAGTCATGTGGAGATAGCATCTCTCAGCAAGAAGAGGAGCAGGAGGGAACACAAGACCATAAGTTTCCAGAAAATAGAGGCAGACAACGCAGGCAGAGGCATGAGGGAGAAAGGCAGGACTCCCACTGCACTCAGTCTGAGAGACAAAACCAGGATGCATACGAGCATCACTCTGAGCGACATGATACGGGCTCCTGCTATGGTCAGTCTGAGCGACAGGTTAGGGACTCCCACAGAGGTCAGTCTGAGAGACAGGATAGGGACTCCCACTGTGGTCAGTCTGAGCGACAGGATAGGGACTCCCACAGAGGTCAGTCTGAGACACAGGATAGGGACTCCCACAGAGGTCAGTCTGAGACACAGGATAGGGACTCCCACTGTGGTCAGTCTGAGAGACAGGACAGGAACTCCCATTGTGATCAATCTGAAAGACAGGATAGGGACTCCAATTATGGTCAAAGATGGAGTCATAAATCTAGCAGTAGCCAGCCTAAAAAACAAGGATATATCTTTGCCTTAAATCAATGTGAGAGACAAGTTCACAATTCTTGTTATGGCCAGACAAATCAACAGGAATCAGGCTCTTGCTATGGACAGTCTGGGAGGCTGGATCAGAAATCAGGCTTTGGTCAGAGAAATAGGCAAGAATTGGACTTTCAATATGGCCAGACAGACAGGCAAGGCCAGAGTTCTCAGTATGGCCAGACAGACAGGCAAGGCCAGAGTTCTCAGTATGGCCAGACAGACAGACAAGGCCAGAGTTCCCAGTATGGTCAGACAGACAGACAAGGCCAGATTTCCCACTATGGCCAGACAGACAGACAAGGCCAGAGTTCCCACTATGGTCAGATAGACAGACAAGGCCAGAATTCTCAGTATGACCAGACAGACAGACAAGGCCAGAGTTCTCAGTATGGTCAGACAGACAGACAAGGCCAGAGTTCCCACTATGGCCAGATAGACAGACAAGTCCAGAGTTCTCAGCGTGGTCAGACAGACAGACAAGGCCAGAGTTCTCAGCATGGTCAGACAGAGAGACAAGGCCAGAGTTCCCACTATGGCCAGAGAGACAGACAAGGTCAGAGTTCTCAGTATGGTCAGACAGACAGACAAGGCCAGAGTTCCCACTATGGCCAGACAGACAGACAAGGCCAGAGTTCCCACTATGGCCAGACAGACAGACAAAGCCAGAGTTCCCACTACGTCCAGACAAACAGACAAGGCCAGAATTCTCAGTATGGCCAGACAGACAGACAAGCCCAGAGTTCTCAGTATGACCAGACAGACAGAGAAGGTCAGAGTTCTCACTATGGCCCAACAGACAGAGCAGGCCAGAGTTCCCACTATGGCCAGATAGACAGACAAGGCCTGAGTTCTCATTACAGTCAGACAAACAGAGAAGGCCAGGGTTATTGTTCTGGCCAGACAGACAGAGAAGGCCACAGTTATCATTATGGTCAGACAGACAGACAAGGGCTGAATTCTCACCATGGTCAGTCAGAGATTCGGGAAACAGAGCAAAATAGTTACTTTCAAGGGAGTGAGGAAACAAGCAGAGACTCATATGTTGAGCAATCAGGAAGGTCAGGGAGACTAAGTCAACAGACTCAAGGACAAGAAGTGACTCGAAATCAGGGGCAAAGATTCCAGTCTAGGGAAGGGCAGCAGAACAGCCACCAGGCATGGGAGCCTGAGGAAGATAGTCAACACCACCAACACAAACTCATAGCACAAATCAAGCAAGAAGGGCCACATAGTTATAAGGAAGGTGAATGGCAATCATGTAGTGGTGAGCAGGACCACAGACAGATGCAGGCCAGGCATGGAGAGAGGCAGAGCCACCAGGCAGCGGGAGAGCAGGCCTGCCGAAGCTGGGGCAGACATGGTTGTGAGGGCCGGGAAACTCCATGCAAGATGCAGGCCAGGCAAACCCATGAGGAGGAACAAGGCAATCAGAGACAGGACAGGCAAACCCACGAAGATGAGCAGACCCGTCAGCGACGAGACAGGCAAACCCACGAAGATGAGCAGACCCGTCAGCGACGAGACAGGCAAACCCACGAAGATGAGCAGACCCGTCAGCGACGAG